CCGGCTCATGAACTCTGTCAGACGGATGTGGAGCGAACCTTCGTCCGCTGTCAGGAGGAGCTGCTGGACATCAGCTGGAAGCCTGAGATAAAGTTACACAGAATCGGTAAGAAACGATGACATGTTGCAGGGTTTTAGGGGTAGCAGAGAGCTGCAGGTATTTCCCAAAGAGAAAAAAAAAGAGAGAGAAACGCCAAATTACATACAACCCAAATCCCAAATAGCTGGCTGCTGTGAAAAATGTAAATAAAACCAGAATGCAATAGTCTGCACATCCCATAAACCCATATTTTATTCACAAAGAACACATCAAGTCTTTAAACTGAGAAATGGACAATTTTAAGACAAAATCATTTTTGACAGCTCAAAGAAAAGTTGGGAAGGGAGAAAGAAAAGGCTGGAAAATGGAGGTGGTACTAAGAAGAAACAGATGGAGGAACATTTTGTATCTAATTAGCTTAATTGGCAGCAGGTCAGAAATGATGCTGTCATGGAAATCACAGCATGGTCTCAGGAAAGCGTCCAGAAATCATGTCTGTGAACAGTTTGCTGTAGCGTGATCCAGAAATGCTGCCAAAGCTCATTTAAAATGGACCGAGGGAGAATGAAAACCATTTTGGTCGAATGGTAATTTAATTTGAACACAAGACTAAAGATGAAAATAACCATCAGTGTTCAGTTCAAAAGCTTGCCTCTCTGATGTATGGAGGGAGATGACTCAGTGCTTGTGAAACTGGCAGCATCCACATCTGGAAAGAATCCATCACTGCTGAAAGGTATATACAGATGAGCAGCAGAGAATGGATGAGGGAATTTGCTCTCATCCAGATGGCGTCTGTTTTTGGGAAGGTCTTGTGAATTTAGCAAGCTGATTCTAAACCATGCAAAAGGATGGAGCAGGACAGCTCATGAAACATCTGCTTGTTAAATTCTGTTGTCTAAATCCACAAAAAGCAGTAAACCTTGGATCAGCTGATCACAGCCTGTTCACAAAGAAATTCTACTGCAGCTCTCAACAGCAGTTGTGACTCTTTCCCTGAGCTGAGCCACTACAACCAATTTTAGGCTTTCACAGCCTGCTTAAATCCACTTTAACCTCCGACTGTACTCATTTTCCTGACACCCCTTACTAGGTAGGCAAAGGAAATTTTCCTTCTTTTTCTCTGCTCGTTTTCTACTTGAGTGGTTTAAGCAGAGCACATTTATTAAGTTAACTTTAGTTTAAATTTTAAGAGTATATTCTCATTGATTGATATTATTTTATTATTACATTAATATAGCACAAGGTTTAGGTAGCTTTGCAAAAAAGGAGCCCCTCCAAAGAGCTGCTTTATACTTACGTACTTTACTATTATCATTAGATGCTGCATTCATTTATTTTTTTATTACACTCTGGTTAAATACGGTGCAGAATCTTTGCTTTAGTCGTGTGTTGTGCAAACTCTGTCTCTGCCTTATTTACTTTAATTCCACATATGTTTGCACATGTTTCTACTGATCACAGTACCCAGCTTCTATTTCCTATCTAAATATAAAGAAATTGGTTTGGAGCTCTGCATTTACTGAGGCAATAGTATCGGTGACTTATGTGTTATGTAATCTGATCAACAGTTGGTTGTTGAATAACCAGGAAGGAAGAAACTTCACAAACTGACGTGTTGCAATGATGGCATCTTCTTACAACACCACGCTCAAATTCAGTGAGCTCTTTCAAACCAAACATTCTGTTGTTTGGTTTGAGGGCTGTTTGGCTAGATGCTTGATATTTCTACAGCTGTGGCAGCGGGACTGTAAACACCTGGGTTTAAAGATTAGCAGGTGTGGTCCTGTAGTATTGCCCATTTGGTGCATGTTTGGCCTGAAGTCTGTCGACACAAATCATTTGTTTAAACTAAAAGCACGTCGTGATTTTATTTTTCTTGTAAATTTCTGTGTTTAAAAGTTGTTAAAAAAACAAAATGAGGCAGGATGTGAATTAAAAAAACCCCCACTATGACTTCACATCCTAAACATCTGTGTTTTGTATGGAAGAGAGACCAACTGAACTTAAAATGGGGACATGCAGTACTTTCATGTAATGCCAATTTATACTAAGGGTAATCCTTATTTAACCAGGTAAGTTATTAACAACAATCTTGCTCACACTGCGGGCTGAGCAAAGGGCAAATCCTTGTGAGGAAGTGAGTAGAATTAAAAAAAAAATTCAAATTAAGAGCAGCAGAACACATTTCAAAACTCTCTCAGGTAAAAACACTGTCCCTGCTGGTTTAAAAACATGTGGTTACATTCCCCAGAACGTAATCATCACACTAGGAACTTTTCATGTGTCCGTTTGTCCCCTCAGATCTTCTGTGTGTCAGTCAGAATGAGGAAGAGGAGCTCTGTAACCAGGAGAGAAACTCCCGTCTGGACCAGGAGGATCCAGAACCTCCACAAATCAAAGAGGAAGAGGAAGAGCTCTTCATCAGTCAGGAGGGAAAGCAGCTCCTACTAAAGGAGGAGATCGATACTTTTATGGTGACTCCTGCTTATGAGGACAGTGACCTCAGCGAGTCAGAATCAAACTGTGATCAGCTCCTCTCTCCCAGCTCTCCTGAAACTGAGAGCTTGAACGAAGGAAGCTTTGATGTAGCCTCAGGATCAACTAGAAATGCAGAGCTGAAACCAAAGCAGAGCCGTCACAGAAACAGTGACAGCAGTTTAGACTCTGTCAGTAAATGTGACGTTTGTGGGAAAGACTTTCAGGATGACGGGAACCAACACAGAACCTCAGAGAAGCCGTACGCTTGCAGCACCTGCGAGAAAGAGTTCTATCAGCTTTATATAATGAAGTATCACCAAAGTGGCATCGCAGAGGAGAAGCCGTTTTCTTGTGAAACATGCGGGAGAGGTTTCCGAGCTCGAGATAAAATGTTGATTCACATGAGAATCCACACAGGCGAGAAGCCCTACCTTTGTAATGCCTGTGGGAAAAGCTTTTCTCAGTCATCGGCGTTGAAACGGCATGCGTTAATTCACTCGGGAGAGAAGCCGTATTCCTGCAAAATATGTGGGAAAACCTTCTGTCAGAGTAGTGATTTGACCGTCCACAGCAGAATCCACACGGGTGACAAACCGCACATCTGTAAGAGCTGTGGGAGAAAGTTCTCTGACGCTTCAGCGTTCAAACGGCACACGGCGATCCACACGGGCGAGAAACCGTATTCCTGTAAACTGTGTGGAAACAGCTTCAGGCAGAGTGGCCATTTGCTGCGACACATGAAGATCCACACAGGCCAGAAGGACTACTCTTGTACAATATGTGGCAAAAGTTTCACTCAAAGCGGCGGTTTGAACGTCCACATGAGGATTCACAATAGATAGAGACCGTACTCTTGCAAAGTGTGGGAAAAGCTTCATCAATCGTCGTAACGTGTCTGCACACATGAGAATATAAATTTGTAGGAGAAGGAGTCCTGCCAGACATGTGGGAAGAGTTTCACTCAGTGTTAGTTTAACAGCCCACAGACTCTCAGGAGGAAAGTCAGGCCTGTAATGTCTGAGTGGAAAATACGTCTGGGAACAGAAGTCGTTAAGTAGAGCTTTCAGTTTTTAAGCGATTTTTCAGAAATGTATAGCAGGCTGTGTTCGATGAAGCTGCCTGGGCCTGGATCAGTGTGTCAGACTGCACAATCAATCTTCGTCAAATTGTCCAGTAGATGTGGTGAATCTGTAATAAGTGCATTTCAGTTTTTATTGAATGGGTCTTATTGAAACGTGGATGTTTGTAAGGGCGTATGATGATGTCATGGATTCAGTGAGTTGTACTCTGAGGCCTGTACAACATTTAAAATGTTGTCAGTGTGCTTTCTGCAGGCAGATATAACGTTCAAACGATTTTCAGATGACTGCATTCTGTGTTACATCGCTCCTGTTTCAAATAGTTTTATGTCAGAGCACGTTGTCTCAGCTTGTTCCTGTGTGCAGTGTTTGTGATTGGGACACGCAGCTGAGGCAATATTAGATGTAGACGTTGGATAACAATCATTCTTTTAGCACCAGTTACTCAGGTTCATTCACCTAACAGTAATTTATACTCCAAGTATCACCTGGTGTCATAATAGCAGTAATTGTATAACTTTGTTGTATTGCAAGGGTAACTGAAGCTACACAACAGGAGTGAAGGAGGTCAAAATGAAGAAGATCTTGTTAAATGTGTGAGGTGTTAATGTTTCATCTGAAATTAAGGACTTGAAAACCTCTGTTAATGTTTCTCTGTCCTGAACCTGCTGGAAGAACATGGTGAACTGATAAGGACCACGGTTTACCCCACCTCTGTGTACTTAGAGGGCCTGTAACTCTGAAAATACTTAAAGTACGAGTGTTGCATGGTTTATTTAAACGTACTGAACTATTGTACAGAAAAACTGATTATGAGTCAAGTGTGAAATTTTCCAGATTTTATATGAAATATAAATGATGTTGTTTGGTTTTGCGTTATGTTTCCATCTGAGGCACCTGATTAAAATTTGCACATTGTAGTCAGCCTGTCTGTTTCTGTTTTATCAGGGTTTAGTTCCTCCTGCTGGTCAAAGCCCAAAATTACATTTAAAAGTAATAAAAAGAATGAAAGATGCTGTGTATTATTAGCATCAGCCTGCATTTTAAACCAGCAGTAAACAAATATGAAAATACCTTTAGAGCTGTCTTTTTATTACCCTGACATGACTGTAAATGTTTTTAATGACAGAAACATGAAGTCTGACTGCTGCGAAGGTTTTCTGCTGCCAGAAGAATTGGATCAAAAAGATTAAATGTAAGTGAAAATCACGTGAGTCATAAACTAAAACAAATTCCTAAAAGTCTGGATGGGCTGTAAAATGTAAAAACAGGTCACATTACAATAGAACATAGAAAACATGTCAAATGTCCATCCATCCATTCGCTTCTGCTTATCCGGGGCTGGCTCAGCCTCAGCAGAGAAGCCCAGACCACGCTCTCCACCACCACCACCTCCAGCTGGTCTCGGGGAACACCAAGGCGCCCTCAGGCCGGCCGTGTAAGTTCAAGTTCAGCTTGGTCTCTGTGCATGAGACAGTTCTGAAATACGAAAGGTCTCTATGACGAAAAAGACATTTTTATAATGAGCATGTAATGAAAACCTCGGGTTGTGGGTTGAATCACACACAAACCTTGTTTCATGAATCTGACACATTGTAAGGCAGGAAGAATATCACCAGTTCTTCACGTGTCAAACAGGGTGCGTGAATCTAACACAAGGCGCTGATTTCTTTTTCAATAAGCGACGGTCTCAGTTCCTCGTTCATTTTCTTGTCACGTCTCATTTTTATACCAAGAATTTGAGCTGCTGACATTTTAAATATTAGAAAAGTTAACAGCATGATGTTTAAATGTATTTTAGATATTTTCTAAAAACTGAAGACTGTATTTTCACAGAGATACACTGACTGAACTTTTCCAGTATTGACATCAGCACCTATGAAATGATTTATTCATCACGATGAGGAAGAAACTGAATCGTTCTTTTATGTTCAAAGTAAGTAAAACAATAAATAAAAACAGGACTTTATTTCTTTGCAGTCGTCTTGTGAAACACAGAACAGCTCAGAGCTAAAAAATACTAGATCAGCCCACAGACTGAGCTGTTGTCAGGACACTTGACCCGGTTTCTGTCATCAGACTAATATGCAGTCCAAGTACGGGGTTGGTGCATTCATAACTCCTCTAACAGCGCTCCGACTCTGGGTGATGGACATTTCAATCACAGATGATTTCTCCATCATCTGTGATTTGATGCTTCAGCTCTGTGGCGTCCCGCCTGGAAGCTTCCCCGTTCTCCACTCTGTGGTTCTCGTGTCGACCGGCAGGTTGCTGCTGCTTCTGAAACTTTTCCCACACATCCTGCAGGAAACGGCTTCCTGCCCATGCGAGTCCTCATGTGGACCTTCAAGCTGCCGCTCTGAGTGAACCGTTTCCCGCACAGTTAACAAGAATACAGCTTCTCCTCTCGAATGGCGTCATGAAGCTGAACCTCTTCAGATTTTTTTTCCCAGATGTAGTTTCTCCCACATGTAGATTCTCATGTGGCTTGCTACGCTCGAGTGATTTTGGAGACACTTCCTGCATGTTTTGCAAATATACAGCTTCACACCGGTGTGGATCCTCAGGCGAGCCGTTAAATCGCTGTTCTGACTGAAACCCTTCCCACAGAATTCACAGGAGCACAGTTTCTGTGACAAACTCATCAGGAAATTATTTACTGAGGTCAGAGGTCAAGAGAAGAGCAGGTTCATTTTCTTGCTTCCTTTTGCATGTGAGGAGGCGCCCCCTGCTGTCTATTAGTCAAAACAACATTTCAATCTGAGCTTCAGAAGAATGAAGCTGCTGAGTGCCCAACGAACGATGAGCTGTTTCTCACATGGAGGCCACAGCAAAACATCTGTAAACGTGTGGGCTTAGTGATGAAACAGCAGGAGACGCCATGTTTGACTTAAGCGCTCGCGAGTGCGATGAAGGATCCCAGAGAGCCGACTGTTGGTTTGTGAATCATTTATTAAAGAAAACGTCCAGAACTCGAGTGTCACTTTAAAAAACCTGAACAAAGAAAAGATGACAAAACATCTTCAAAACATCAGACGTATCAATCTATGTACAACTAGTGCATTTTTACATGATTAATAAAATAAAGAAAGCTGAAAGGACATGCAGAGTTACTCAGTAACAAACTCATTTAGAGCTTCGGTCTTTAATTCACCTCATTTATTAAAACAAAAGAAAAAAGAACGGAATATTTACAATCTGTTTCTAATACTGACATCAGGAACTACACACGTGGTGCAAACGTGTAAGCTTTTCCTCCAGGACCTCAAAGAAACTCAAAGATGGCCTCACAGCTCGCTCCGTTAGTCTGCATTTATAGACTTGGTCGAAAGTTTTTTTTACTGGCACAAATTTGCTGTTTTATATGATTTTATGATGTAATCGAGAACCATCGGGAACATTTCACACGTTTAAAAGAATTTTATTGCCAAATAAATCAAATGTATGTAAATCCCAGGAGTTTCCAAAATGTTCATTTGATTCTCGTCCAAGCGACTTGGTATCACTTTCTTGTGATATGCTGGAAAACGTTCAGCTGGTCATCGACTGACAGTTAGTTTGGTCAAACCTTAAAAAGCAGGTGGAAGAGCAGAAGCTCACAAACTGATCCTGGAGCTGTGATAAAGCAGGAACAATCAGGATTTGACCCAGAAGCTGAGCTGCAGCACACGTTGCCTCTGCAAACACAGACTCGTTCAGCAGTTTATTTGCAAATAAAAATCTTTGAAACGTATGAAATGCTTGTGACTGACTTCGAAACATATTTTTCCCCAAAGATATTCGTGCAGCCTGAAACACACGTTTGCTGTATTTCTGTGACATTTAGTGCAAATCTTGCTTGAACACAACTTCTTGTGTGGAGTGACAGTTTACAACCTACAACTATGTGTCACACGTGTGCGGATCCTGGGAAGCTTCAGCATTTGGGACTTTTTCATAAAGTTTTTTTTACCCACTTCACATTATGCAGACTTTTTTATGCTGACTCTTGGACGTGTGAGAGTTTTCTACAGTTTCTTTCATTGGCCTTTCTTCTGCGCTTCCTTCTTTGTTTCTCGTCCACGTTTGCGGCTGATCCTGACCTCACGTGCTTGCTTCCTATCAGACTCCAGTTTGGGGAGCTGTGAAAGAGAATCTGGCCATCGTTTGGTTCCTGTTCTCTATGTTCCTCATAAACAGGAGCCACCACAAAGCTCTCGGTGTGACGCTTCAGTGCCGACTGCACTCCCTCCCTCCTGAGTTTGTGCTGTTCTTTGATCTGTGGACGCTTTGGTTCTTGCTGATTGGACAACAGTTTCTTGTGTTTTTGTTTAACATGAGGAGGCCCTGGTTCCTCCTGGTTCAGGCTGCAGTTCCTCTCCTGGTTACAGAGACGCTTTTTAGGAAGAACCTTCTCTGCTGCAGTGACGTGGAGCTGTGGGTGGTCTGCAGGGACAAGATAAATGTTAGTAACAGTCCATAAATAAGCACAGAGTACAATCCTGACCTAGCAGGTGATTTAAACTTTTGTGTTGGTGTTTGAGACCTTGTGGTCGCGTCTCGGTGTGTCATAAGCTGTGCCAGCCGTCAGAAGCAAATAAAATGCCAGGGCATTATTCTGCCTCCCTACTCTGCTGGCAAAATTTTAAGAGGTAAACGTATTTGACGTATTCTTCCACATCTTTGTAAATGCTCTTGCGTCCATTCCAACAGACAAGCTCCCTCCAGGAGCTTCAGGGAATCTTTATTTTGAGATGATAGTGATTATTTTCTGATTAATTCAAAACCTTTGTTGAAAAAGTAGCTGGAAGTTCACAGGAGGAACTGATGTGACTTGGGTTTCAGAGAGATCTGGTTATAACGTACCTGCAGAGTAGATTTAATACAGTACACAGAGTACAAGTACAGATCAGCTAAGTGCAGGTACTAGTTTCCTTCTGATCCAATTTCACAAACCAAACACACAAAAAAATACAAAAGTCCTAATGACACTTTTCTACTCTACAACATGTCTCATTCACCCATTCTGCCACACACACTTTTCTGCACCTATCCAACAGTCAGCAGCTCAGGTTCAGCATCCTGCCCACAGACACTCTGGAGCAGAGGGAACCCCCACCCTTCTGGTTAGCAGGTGAGCTGCTGAGCTACACCACCCAGCTGTGCTGTATTATAACTACAAGTCTGGCGTTAGAAGCTGTGAGAGACTCGGTGAGTTACGGTGATTTCTACAAGTGTACAGACCTGAGGAGCCACGTTACCTCCCCGTGGGCATGCTGAGCCGTCAGCGTCTCTGCAGCTCTGACCTCAGTCTGATCTTTCTAAAAGCTGAAGGTGTGTGCTTTTAACTCCACATTTCTCATATTATTGTTATCATTATTAATATTACTATTGTTACTTTGGTCTGCGAGGATGACATAAAGAGCTCGGAGCTCCCGCAGGCTCACACTCATTCATCCCATCCCATTCATCCCTACCGATCCTCTGAAGCTTGATCTCCGGCTTCCAGAAGCTCTCCAGCAGCCTGCGCTGCCGCTCGATGTCCTGCTCGTATTTGACGATCGTGTTTTCAAACACCGTGAAAATTTCATCCACGGCGGCAGACAGCCGCTCGTTGACAAAGTTTATCAGAAACTCCACTGTGGACATTTTTACTTTCGATTAAACGATCAGCACAAGTCCTTCTACAGTTCCGGATTCTCCTGAATCTGCTTCCGCTGTGTGCTGCACCATTAAAGGTTCTGAATGAAGCTGAGACGTTTTTTAAAGTTCCGCTCTCGGTAAATTACTGCCAAACGTTATTTCTTACATAATAATAATAATAATAGTTATTATTGTTGTTTTTTTATTTTTTATTTTTTGTACTGGCACATTTATTGAAAGTAAGTAATCGCAGGCTGCCATCATTTCCATTTTCACTGTATAATATGGTCTTATACCATAATCTGACAGCGTGTTTATTTGTTTGATGTCGCTGTCACGGTGTCATGTCACTTGTCTTTTAAAGACTTACTAAAAATCATCACTGCGACATTTATAAGATTTACAGCTTATCATGTATGTGTCACGTGTCATGTCACCCGAGCAGCCATCACAGCAGCTCTTACTACCATCGTGTAAACCTTCTCCTTCAGTCACAAATCATCCACCCACTCCACTCTGCCTACTCTCTTCTTAAAGTGTCAGTAATACATATACAACAATAACAGTTTAATCATTAATTTCTTTAATAAATAAATAAATCCCCCCCCCCCCCCCAAAAAAAGAAAAAAATAAAAATAAAAAATTAAGAACAATGAAACGATGACTTTACCTGCTCGCATCGACTCTTTTCATACACATAATTTGTTTTTGGGATCATTTTCTGAAAAGAGGATCAAAAACAAACAATAAGGAGAAAATAAAGCAAAGTAAGCAGATGAAATTGACTGAATATTACTTATTTTATTTTATTTTGTTGGCATTGTAGTATATTAAGATGATAAATAAATAAAAATATGATGAGGTGAAGTCATTGTTTCATTCATTTTAATTTTTTTTTTAAGTAAAGTAAGTACTGGTGCATGAAGCCTGATAGAAGTTAATATAAATTTAAAAGTACAAATCCAAACAAAAAAAATTACAGAATTATTTATGGCATTAACAGGTGCAATATTTATACAATACAGATGCTTATTTTTTATATGTAATTTATCTGTAATTATAATTGAATTCAATTGAAATGATCATTTCAATCTTTATGCAAACAAACCCAGTTCCAAAAACATATAAAAACAATAATAATAAAATAAAATGAAAATCAAATATTCATCTATTTTACTCATGGATCTGAGCAGCTTTAAGACCCAGAGCAGAGCGGCTGTCAGCAGCATTGTGGTGTGTGCGCTGTTCTGTGTGCGGTGTCGGTGTGCGGGTCAGAACAGCTCCGGGTCATCATGAGGAGGCCTGAACAGACCGGAGCAGTCTGAGCTCTCCTGTCAGCACGAAGCGAACATGGCGCGTCTTTAAAGCACAAACTGAGCGTGAAGGAGCCTGAAGATCAGCCGCACGTGAGTCACGGCGTCCTTGTGTTCAGCGAGTGTGAGGCGTTCACTGCCTGCTGTTTCTGTAGGTTAACTGAAGATCTTAAATCTCTGTCACTGGGGCCACAGAGAATATTTAATGTCTGTACCTTTATTATATTATTGAGATGACATATGCCAAGTAAAATGCTTTAACTAAGATTTATTTTCTTTGTGAATCATCAATAGGTTAAATGATTACATTTATTTTAAGTGATTAAAAATCCTGTAGCGTGAGCTGATATCCTGAGGTGTACTTTATCCAGCTTTTATTTACAGAAATGTGAAACAAGGAAAAGCAAAAGAATCTCATATGTGATCCAGTGAATAAGGTCCTGATTTATCTTGCAAATATATTTTTCATCAATACATTAAATGTGTTATTATTTATACCACTACCACTACAAAGCGCTTTATATGGTAACAGCAGAAGCTGTGCAATACAGTATTAGAGGTAATCAAACAATCCTCTGTGAGGAACACATGAAGAACAATGAGAAAAAAGAAACTGTAGGAGAGAGAAGACAAAAGTTAATGACTGATGGAGTAACATGATAGAGTTTTACGATATGAGACGACCAGATTATTCAAGACCTGGTATGTAAAGAGAAGGTTATTTTTTTCTTTAACAAAAAACAAATCTGTAATATCTGTAAAAGATTCAGCTCAGTATGCAGCAAGTGAAACACTGTACAGTTAAAAAAAGAAGCTGACAAACGCACATCAGAAGTTACGCGAGGCTCTACCTTCACACTTCTACTTCAGCAAGCAGAAAAGATATTCATTTAAATAATAACTAAAAGTAAAGAATGAATGTCGTTCCTTTTAGTTTTACTTTTAGGAGGAAGTCAGAGTGGGTGGACGGGTGTAGCCTTGAACTCTGTGACAGAGTCAGAGACTAACTAATCATTTTCTCAGTGTTAAATAGACTGCTGAACCCGACACCGCTCTCTCTCCAGGCACTAGTTACCTGTGAGCCTCACTGACAGGGTAAGGAAGCCCACGAGGGTCAGTTCTTCCACAGCCTGGCCAGGATGTTGCAGCTGTGTAAAGTCACCAACGCTCTGTTCATCAGTAACGCCCGCTCAGCCTGCAGCGACGAGCTCATCCAGCAGGAGGCGGTGACGCTCTGCATCAACGTGTCCAAGCAGCAGCCGTTTCCCTCCAGCAGCATCACCAAGCTGCAGATACCCGTCTACGACGACCCCAACGAGGACCTGTACAGCCACTTTGACCGCTGTGCCGACGCCATCCAGAAGGAGGCGAACCGCGGCGGACGCAGCGTCGTCTACTGTAAGAACGGACGCAGCCGCTCGGCCACGATCTGCATCGCCTACCTGATGAAGCACCGCAAACTGTCCCTGACAGACGCCTTACAGGTGAGGATCTATCCCACCCTGCTCTACTTTACTTTTTGCACAGGTTACAACTTTGGCATCTGGTGTTAGTGATGAACTTTGTCCACCCTCCACAGACCCCGAGCTCCTCCTGCTGACTGTGAGGCAGATTATAAATGTGACACTTTGTTTATTGGAAAATAAACTGCACATTGATTAAACAAACTGCTGAGTTTGTTCACTCTTAGAGGAGCTGCTAGGTTCCATAAATACTGTTCTCACTCTCGAGACGTAACATCTCGACGTTTTGTCACGTCCCGCAGCGGACCATGAGAACGCGAAAGGTGACCTTCCACATTCTTATGGTCCGCACCAGGTTATGGATGAAATCCAGTGGAATGACGCTCCCGCAGTAATAGACGTTCCAGCCATGTATTCCAGCCCTATACCTAACCTTCTCCCTAAGTATAACCATAACTTTATTCCTAACTTTAAGCACTTTAATGACGTTAAATAGTGTTTTCCCAAGAGGTTTGAAGAAAATGAACAAAGATGTGTAGATTGAGTCCAAACGGTTGTCATATTTCCTCATTTTTCCAGTCTCGTCATTTAGGAATGTGTTGGGTGCCTTGAAAACGTAATATGTTGACGATTTGTCACCTAGCATTACGCTTTGGGAGAACGTGCTGATAAATAATGATCAAGTCTTCAAATGAAGGTCTGAGGACTGAAAGAGTAATAGAGTGAACACAAGTCCCAGAAAAAGTGCTGAACTTTTGTTGCTTCAGAGTTTTTCACACATATAGTTTTTGTTTATCATTTAATAAGTATTATTTTGCAGATTTTAAAATACCAATCATCCTATTAAGTCTCACTGTGCTTTGAGCCGTCTAAATCAGCCCAATCCTGCTGCATGAAGGTCAAAAATGTGGAGGACTTAGCTCAACCTGCAGCTGAGAGGTTTGTTTTCTGACACTGAAGCTTTTATTATCCAAACTGCCCTTGAACACAACACTGAAAGATGAGCTGCACACTGAGCGTTGCTATATTCATGCTCAGAAGGGACAAATGAGAATGAGAAAACTGACTGAAGGACTGAAGTTTTGCAAACGTTATGACAGGTAATCAAAAAAAAAAATGTCCATAAAACAAATAACAGAAAACAGGAAAAATTTTATGAAATACAAAAATATTTAGAAAATATTAAAATAAATTGTAAAGTACAGAAATACAAATCATGCAGAGCAACCACAGATCCTTAGAAGCAACCAGAGCTCGTCACTGTTCATTTCCCTTTTCCTAGAAAGTCAAGACGGCTCGTCACGTGATCGACCCGAACCCCGGCTTCATGTCTCAGCTGCAGAGATACGAAGAGGAGCTGAAGCGGAGACGAGGAAAGTCCTGATCCTTCTTACAAAACTCAGAGTCCGCAGCTGAAAACAGAAGCAGTGCTGAAGCTTCTTCACCTCTGTCCTCCTCTTCTGCAGGACTTTACACGCCGTCACTTTAATTAAGGCTTAGATGAATGAATTAACCTCTAGATTATGGCCTGTTTTTAAAAAGAAGTCCCAACAAATATGTATTGAACTTATTTTAATGTTAGGATACTGAAGATATCCGAGTGTCTAAAATGTGACCTGATAAAAACAATATTTAAGGAAAGTTTTTATTACAAAAACTGAACAAGTGGAGCTGATGAGAAAAAGTATAGAAAGTTTTAAAATCAAGTCAAATAACATAAGAAGACAAATTAACTATAAAATTTGAACTAAGCTGAAGTGAAGGTGGAACTGTTACCTCCTAAATGTACTGAATATACACACTACATGATGTTCATCTACAGAAAACGAGGCTCATTTACTGTACGTAATCACAATAACATTATTTCTTTTATAAACCTTTACTTTGTTACAAAACACTTAAAGAAAAAACAGACAGGACAACATTTGTACCAAGTTTGTGGAAAATAAAAGATGAAGACATCAAAAAGAGCGAAAATGTGGTTTATATCTAAAAGTTCAAAATATGAACTAAGAAGTATATTTATTATCCAATTATCAGTTACGATCTATCAGGTTGCAGCTCACCGTTGGTTTCACTATTGATTACTTTGCAGCCAATACTTCTATTTAAATTAAAATAAAATACTTTAAACCATAATTGGTAACAAAATAGTATAAAAACGGATTATTTTTATGCTTGTCCTCTCAGTGGTTCACTAATCATAAGAAAATCAAAAAGAATGATTATTTTCTGTCTAAACACTCAGTTTTCTTTTCTTGTCCAAGTCTGAGCACACGTGGCTGCAGTCCCACCTTTTACCTCTAGGTGGAATCACTTACACAGAAAATAATGCAGCCCCGTGAACACGTGACGAGTCAGGCTCCTCTTTAATTTGATCTGAAACATTAAAAAAATCCACAAAGAAGCTCAGGGATGATAATAAACCGTGACGTGAGATTTCGATCTTCATCAGCGTCTCTCTTGTGAACCTGATTCAATGAGAACTCACCTGGATTTAATTCTGACAGGATGTAACCTTAGGAGGCTATCTCACTGATCCTAGGTCAGTTTCACTGTAGAGCATGGATGATGTTACACTGAGAGTTTCAGTTAAGATGTGATAATATGGAGCTTTCCAGGTACTTAAGCCTCTCCTGTTAAAACTTGTTAAATTCACACAAAACCTTTACATTTATTATTTGTAAAAGAATTATTTCCCAGGAGGCTCCAATTTAACTTCACCTGAGATTTAATTTGAATTTAGGTTAACATATGCCAACGTGGAATTGTTCATTTAAATAAGTGAAAAGCTGAAATTTTCCAGAACAGAAATCTTTAAACTTTTTATGTTGTCATAGTAAAGTCAAAGGTTGTTACAAGTTAGAGATCTGAAAGCTTTTTAGTTTAAATCACCTTATAAAACTGATAATAATGTCGAGATCAAGTAACAGTTTATATTAATATTCTATGAATCAGCCTCTGAATGATACACGGGAAAAACATTTTCCTGGACATGAACAGGAAAGCAGCATGTTCCTGGTCTTTTATATTTAATTAAACAAAAAAACAAAAAGAAAGAAAGAAGATTAATTATTAATCTAAAAAAGCACAAAATCTTGAAACTGGGCATAAAAACAAAAGAACACAAACAAAAATGTTTTGCCTTAAAGAGCCACTGAATTATTAATTGTCAGTTTTTTTAATGCTCCATCAAATGTCTTAAAGCTCTGTAAATATACAACATATTAAATACTCAGGTTAAAATAGTAGAAAAGAAACAAACATATTCAAGTACTTATGTGGGAAACGATCTGAATTTGTAACATTTTGGCAGCTTATTAAGTCTGAACGATCTCGTCATGTAAAACATGTAAGTCTGTGAAATTCAGCAGTTTTATATGTTAAATGTGTTCTGTGAGTTTTAATGCTGCTTCTGGTTAATAATCATCTTTTAATAAACAAAACAAAAAACCTTGTGAAAATCTTTGGTGTCTGCAGAGTCTTACTGTTGATCTCAGGTGTGTCCTCCTTTTGATGCTGCCATTAGAATCTAAAAGCAATGATTTTATTTGCACAGATATTATTTAAACCACCTGTGACCTCAGTATTTATTGTAATGAGTCTATAATTATAAAAGCAAACGGATGTCTGTGTTAGCTAAAAGGTGTTACCATAACAGGCGCTTAAAGAAATAATCCTGCCCTGCCTCTTTAAGACCAGGCTGCTGTAAACAATCGTTTGTGAGAAAATAAAAATAAAGTTAAATGTTGATCACTCAAAAATGAGCTCTGTGGTTATTGTCTACAATATGTTGGCCTAAGAGGTTTAACTTTATGTTTTATTCCTGTCCTGAGATGTGTTTGTTTCTGAAGCTGAAGTAAAAAACAAGGCAAACCACATTATTTGATTAAAAATACTTCAAAGACACGACTAAGGCTCACAGTTGTTAGTCTAGTGATCGTGGCTCAAGAGTTGGCAGTTCATCTTGTAATCGGAAGGTTGCCGGTTCGAGCCCCGGGTCGCTCGTTGTGTCCTTGGGCAAGACACTTCACCTACTGGTGTTGGCCAGAGGGCCAGTGATATACCAGTGAAATGACAAATTGGCTTTCTCATTCGGCTCTCTCTTTACCACAACAGATTGGGAAAGCAGCCGCATGACTGTGAATGTCCCGCCAGCCCAAATGTCAATCGCGCGTCTCACTTGTGAGCAAGATGCTAAAATACTTGAACTCCCACACCTTGGGTAGTAACTCGTCCCCAGTGGCGGTCCTAGCCTGTTTGGAGCCCTGGGCGAGCACTCCCTCCCAATGACACATCTGCTTACCTGTGTCTTTTGCTCGTTTCTCTTCCTCTTCTTTTCTCTTTTTTCTAAACTGAGCACCTGATGGCTTTGAACTTTTCTTGTCCATCTTTGTTTTAATTTTGCACGCCAGTATGAACACAAATCCCCCAATCTGAGAATCACCACAACATAACCTAACAGACCTACACCTTAGTTCACAGATTCACTTTGTCTAAGGTTTATTTCTGGGATTTCACACAACCCAGGATTCAAATCATGAATACATGATGGGCTTGGATTTACAACATTATGAATGAAATGTGCTCTATTTGGAAGCAGCAGGTGTCCCGCCCCTTTCGACGGGTTGTGTGTGAGACTTTAAATCATCAAACTGTAAATTATAAATTTAAATTGTTATTGATCCTTTACCCCGAGTCCTAAAGTGTAGATTTATTTTCTTACTCTTCTTATATTTATTGTTTGTTTACTTGCACTGCTGTAACTGGAGCCTCGTCGTCTCGTCTCTATATACTGGACTGTATGTAGCGGAGATGACAATAAAGTTTACTTTGACTTCAGCAGCGAGCAGGCGCACCGAGGGCTCTCGCGCTGTTTTTGTGTTTGTTGGTTTGTTTTTATTTTGTTTTATTTTGCGAGTTGATTATTAGATGCTGCTCCAGCCAGCCAGAGAATCCTCCGCCGCCCCGCCGTCTCCTCCCTGTACCACCAGCAGCAGGCGCACCTCGCAAACGGAGGGCGCCCTTACTCCCAGCAAATGGGCGATAGAAAACCGCTCGGTGCCTGTACCATTCCCAATATGCACTGGCATGATGTTGGGGCAGCATGAGTACGAGCAATTTTTTTATTTAATTTTTTTCGTGGTGGGGGGCGTGATGCTGGGCAACCGCCCATGTCGCCTGTATCAAAAACCGCTACTGCTCGTCCCTGACGTGGAATGAGCACTCCACCCTTTTCTGGTTGAGAACAGTCGTCTTGGACTTGGAGATGCTAATCCTGATTCCTTCGCACTCGGCCACAAACTGCTCCAGGGCAAGCTGAAGGTCCCCAATCGATGAAGCCACAGAACCACATCAAAGAAAATCCCACAAAATCCAAAGATAAAAACCTTTTATAACTACTACAGCTAGATATTCTGTCCATAAAAAAACTATGAACAGATCCAAGGCTCACCAGAAACATGTCCAACGTAGTGCCAACAATTCGAACCAACTAGTTCTGACTTCTTCCCCACCAGAGGTGTAACGTTCCATGTCCCAGGAGCTATATTCAATACCCAAGAATCAAACTAACAGAGTCTCTGTGGTGTAGCCAATCAAAGACATATTCTGTACTAATTAGCAGGTACACTTCATGGATACAGGACTCCACCCTAGCCCACGATCAAATCTCTGTCTGTTCAAGGAGACGATGATATCTTACCAAACTATGGCTGTGACCTGTGTGGTGAGAGGCTTGAAACACTGAGAGCAGCTGAGCTGTAATGTTTGCATGTTTTCCTTTATTTGATGGATGTAATTTGATACAGAAAATAAGTCCTACATTTTTCATCAAAGATTTTCTTTTTGAGTAATTCATCAGTAATTTCTGGAAAGAGTCAGCTGATACAAATATATTTTTTGGCACTTAGAGCATCTAAAGGCAAACACCATTTGGTTTTGTTATAGGCAGACATTTTTCCATTGATTAATTGAGTATTTCACATTATTTTAAACAGATACGTAGCACTACAGGTCAGAGGGAATTTAAATTGTCTGGAACTAGTGGAAATCACTGGTTTTAAAAAAAGCAAACAGCTGCGTCTTCATGGTAAATCATTTTATTTAACAAAGTGTGTTACATTTTTATGTGGGTTCAACAGAACAGAGCCCGAAACAGCTGTTGTGGATAAATTGGTTCAGAAGCGTGGGCGTCCTTCCGGGCGATGGCCTCTGTCCCATTCTTCACGCACACTATTGATCCAATTATTGTAGTTGGACACTTTTGTGTAGATTCCCAGTTTGTCCAGCTGCCCACAGCCCTCACCCCAGGAAACCAGGCCAACCAGGAACCAGGTGTCCCGGTACAGAGTGACCATCGGGCCCCCACTGTCACCCTCACAGGCATCCTTCCTCTGTCCAAGGATACCGGCACAGAGGACGTTGTTGGAGATCGTGTGGGGGAACATCTGCTGAGTACAGATGCTGTGGCTGACCAATGGGATTTCAATAATGTTGAGCACTGAGCTGTGCTTAGTGCTGTTCATGTCCTCTTTGCCCCAGCCAGAGACAACAGTCTTAGTGCCGTTCAGGTGGAGCACTCGCTCGGCCATCTCGCGTCCTGGCAGACAAATGGGGACGATGTACTCAGTCGTGGGAGCGGGGGTCTGTAGGCGCAGCAGGGCAATATCATTGTCCATGGTCTTGGTGTTGTAGTTTGGGTGTTTGAAACCTTGGACAACATCCAGGATCACCTCACTGCCTTCTTTTTTAAGACGCTCATAGTCACCTAAAGACACAGGTTGTGGACTCATGGTTAATGAAAGCTGATGTGTGTTTTCACTCTGACTACAACAGGGATCTCGAACTCCAGGCCTCGAAGGCCGGTGTCTTCCAGGTTTCAGATGTGTCCGTGATCCAACACAGCTGACTTAAATGGCTAAATTACCTCCTCAACATGTCTTGAAGTTCTCCAGAGGCCTGATAATGAACTAATCATTTAAATCAGGGGTGTTGACCCAGGGAGATATCTAAAACCTGCAGGACACTGGCCCTCGGAGCCTGGATGTCGAGACCCCTGGAATACAATGTGACCTATCAGCAACCTTGGTTTTGTAAAGTTTTAGTGCTTAATGGCAAAATAGCAAATTACTTCAAATAATTGTATATACAGTTGAATAAAAAATAAAAACTGGAAAATTTAAGTACATTGAGGTTTCTCCATGTACTTAATTCCCACCCCCTGAACCACGGTCGCCCCATGGGTGACCTTCTTGTAACCGGAAGGTCGCAGGTTCGATCCCCAGCTCTGTCTTGGTTGTTGCGTCCTTGGGCAAGACACTTCACCTACCGCCTACTGGTGTTGGCCAGAGGGGCCGATGGTGCAATATGGCAGCCTCGCTTCTGTCAGTCTGCCCCAGGGCAGCTGTGGCTACAACTGTAGCCTCCACCAGTGTGTGAATGTGAGAATTGTAAAGCACGTTGAGGGTCTCAAAAAGTGCTATATAAATGCAATCCATTATTATTGGTAGTAGTATTCCAGCTTTATTTGTCACTGTTGAATTAATGTTCATGTATGGAGTCCTTGGGATTGTCACCACAATGGGCAGTGACAACCTTCTGACCTACCAGCTGCCTCTGCCATGGAGTCTCACTCTCACTACCTGTTTAGGTTTACAGATCAGTCCTATGGCATCTTCCTGCCATCTAATACAAATTAATACTGGTGATCAGTTGACAGCGATGCTGTTCTCTTCACCCAAATATCAAACATAGACTGACGTGACTCCACCAGTTATGCATGCCTAGCAGTTTGTAAACCTTTTAGCCTGTGTTTCTTTTTTAATAACTACACTCATGAGCATGAACATGGTGTTTGTCTGGGCTAATTTATGTCTGTTCATCAAAAACAAAACTCTGGGCAGTTTATCAGCTGGTCCAGGGTTCTTTACAACTGCCCACATGAGAGGTAAAGTCTCCCGAGAGCTCGCAAGTGAATCCCCTTCAATATTTTCACATATAGACCCAAGAAGGCCAGGTATTTTGAAGTACTGAGCATAAAAGCAAACTCAGAATCATATCCTCCATGACCTGTAGTTGCATAGAGTTGCGCCCTTATACTCTGGAAAAACCCCAAAGGCCAGGGACATGAGTATCCTCACCCATCTGGCACCTCTTTCCTTGGGTAAGTCCAGAAATAGAAAGAGTCCAGTCCCAAACCTGGATTTGGGTTTAGAGCCCATGGCTATGGGCTGAGGTGTGACCCACTATATTGAGATTATTTGCTAAGAACCAGAGACCTGATGGTACGAGATCCAGTGTGCTGTGCTGCTCCAGCTCAGGTTCCCAGGTATCTAAGCTCAGCGCCCATCTCTGTGGGTGATGGGTTTACAGAATGGCCGATAGTTTCTTGAGGTCGTGCCTGGTCATACCCGACAGATCAAGGCCCAGCAAGGTTTACCAGCTCCTCTTTATTCATTTAATTCATTCAGTTTGTTGGAATCACTTTTAGTCTCGTCCTTATTGTTCTCCCAATATCACAGGCAATTAAAAAACTCCTTCACTGTGGTGATTTTTATGACTTTATATATTGCTTCTAGTTTATTTCTGTGTCATACAAACTAAATTTAAGGTAAACTGAAGTGTTTTCTCTCTGTGGGCAAACAAACAAGACCCTATCAGCCTTTCAGGTAAAAACTACAGGCAGTCTCTCCAATCATTTGTACTTCACTATAATCAGTTTGTTAATCAGTTCGTTACCGCGTTGATCTTTCT